CAAAACTATTTGTTGAGCTTTCCTTTGTTTAAAAAGCCTATTTCCGCATACCTGGAAGCATTCTCCTCCTGTATTAGTAAGTAGTGCCCGATATATGACGCAAAACACTGTCATATTGCAAACAAAGCCGCGTCCGTTGGCATTTTTCAATTTCCCGATACCGGGAAATAGTGTCTGGCCCCGTCGGAAACAAAAAATGGCTTTAATATTCATGGAAGCCATCGTTCATCGTCCCGTCAAAAATCGCCGAAGCCGTCTGTCTGTCCGTCAGTCAGTCGGGCTTCCGCCGTCAACCTTGCGCGGTCCGGCCGAATTTCCAATCAATTTACTACCTGTCCATCTATAATTGGATCTTCTAGTTTATTTGACATTCTGGACGTGGAAACCGACACGATAGCAAACTATTTAGTGCTTGAGTATACGATGAAATCTAGTACAGAAATAAGTGTACACTTGTTTGTGTGTCTCACATTTTCTCTTGTTACGATCTTTTCTTCTGGGTTCGGCATTTGGTTACCTAAAACTGACCTAACACAGAGAGCCGTACATTTCATCGTTGTCTATTAACACAATCCGTTGCTTATAACCCTTACACGGCCTCGCCTGATAAAACACCACAATCTTGGGAAATAACAACCTTATTTCTTGCCGCTGTTTGTGCCGATTATTTTAGTAGGTCAAAGATTCAATAATACCCTTTAATTATTGTTGATTTTTATTGAACAAATACACCATTGTCAGCAGTTAACAATGTTTTCCCGAGCATGAAAGTTAGCTTTCTAGGGTCTCCCCATAGTCAACCAGTGATGTTGTATGTAGGCAGGTTCGGTTTCGGAGCTTTTCTTCATCTCTGAACGGCCGTTGTCAGGTTTTTGGGATTTTTTTTGTTTTCCTTGGGCGAAACTATGTTTTATTACGTCTAGCTAGAATATTATATAGTTTTTACTTTTGACATTGATCGATAGTCAACTGACAGACTGACGCAAGACCGGAAAAATTCGTGTCTGTCATTTCCTGCTGAAGAATTGGTTGAGAAAGTGTATCGGCCCTTCATTTGGATTCCAAATTTTGGGATATTGGACCCCAATCACCAGTTTATAGAGTAGTACCATTTTTTTACCTACCTTCTATAGTAGTTTGTTTGCGTCGTTGTTTAGTGCTACTCCGACCATTTTTATGGGTTTGTAACCTCTTTAGAGTGGAAAGGCATTAAGGAAAACCACCATCCGTATTCCTCCAGCTTTGTAGCCGATTTTGCAGACAACCACCCTTTTCTTGAGAAAAGAAAAACCCTGTTTACATCACCTAAGATCTCGACTGCCTAGTCTACTGACTCGCGCAACAGAGGGTTGCTGTGTGGTCCCGTTTGACTATAACGTCGATGCGTCTGTTTAATATAGTAAAATGGAGACAATATGGGGCGTTGATTGTACACAGAATTCCGTTTTGTATGTATCTTCTGATATAAAGCCCAATTTATTGATTAAACCTAATTTTGAGGCTGTTCATAGAGATATAGGGGAGAATAATCGAAAAGTAATTTAATTGTTACTCCAGGAACAAATGTAAACAGAAGAGTAAAAAAATTACTGGGGATTGTTTCAGCAGAATTTATTTGTTCGAAGCTTGAAAGCATCATATAAACTCGAGTTACTTTGATTACTCTTACACGAATATAACTTCTACCATTACAATAAAAAGTTCTAGCACTATATCAAACGTGGAAAGAATGGTTGTGACATTTAATTTGTATGGCTTAATTGAAAATGTACCTTCCCCTTTTTTGAATAACAAACATTTTCGTGCCTGAGGGCCCCTCCGGTTTGCGCGGTAATCCTCGTCTTTTATTTTCTTTATTGGAAGGAATAAATATGGTGTTAGCAGAACGGCACAGCCAGGAATTGCCGCTTGTTTAGCCGGTGTTTTAGACAAGGGTACCGGTTGTAAATTTGCAGAAGGTGAAAATTTGCTTCTTGAGATTCCGGATTTGCTTTAATGATCAGATGGGGAACGCACCTGTCTTCTCTGATTGCTCAATTCTACAAGGTATCCCACGTATTTTTAGGCTCAATATGATGACATTGTTAAAATGTCAATGTTTTCGAGAGTTTTCAAAATCTTTATATTAACTATTAACTTTCATGGTTTTCAAAATACACAAAAATTTCAGGATTTTCAAAATTTTCCAAATATCTAAAATTCAAAAAAGTTCAAAGTTTTGAAAGTTTTCAAAATGTCGAGAATCTTGCAAAATCCAAAAATGAGTAATTTTCATATTTTTCAAAATTTTCATGATTTACAAAACTGTCAGGAATCACGCAAAATTCAAAAATTCATTATTTTCATAGTTTTAAAAATATTCATGATTTTCAAAATTTTATAAATATCCAAAGCTTGAAGATTTTGAAAATCATAGAACATTATGAAACTCTTGAAAATTTCGGCAGAAATCTTGCAAAATTCCAAAACTTTCTAAAAGCTTCAAAATTGTTAAAGCTTATTGGGAAACGCAAATGTTAAATCCCTGTGTTGAACGTTCCTGAAAGAACTGGTATTGTTTCAAAACCACAAAGAGGAAGAGCAATAGAAGTGACTAACATGTTTTCTAGTTTAATGTGAAATGGCGTAGAAAACAAAAAGAAAAATAAGCCATCTTTATGGATTTTGTTGTCAGAAATATAGAAAAACATCACATCCCCACTCTAATAAATAAACAGTTCATTGAAAATTTTCAAAACTGGCAAAACTGTAGTATTTTCATAATTTAAGATTTCTTTAAGTCTTCATCCTTCAAAATTGTTAAAATGTCAATGGGTTTGAGACTTCATAATATCCATAAATAAATAATTCTTATGGTTTTCAAAATATACAAAATATTCATAATTTTCAAAGTTTTGAACATGAACATTATGGAAATCTTGAAAATTCTGAAAATGTTCAAAATTTTAGGAATCTTCCAAGTTTTCTTGAAATTTTCACTTCAAAATTGTCGAAATGTCAATGACTTTGAGAGTTTTCAAAATATCCGCAAATTTTCAATGTTAAGTTTCAATCTTTATAATATTCATGGTTGTTAAAATATACAAAATTTTCATGATTTTCCAAATTTTGTAAACATCCAAGATTTTGAAATCGAACATTATGGAAATCTTGAAAATTCTGAAAATGTTCAAAATTTTAGGAATCTTCCAAGTTTTCTTGAAATTTTCACTTCAAAATTGTCGAAATGTCAATGACTTTGAGAGTTTTCAAAATATCCGTAAATTTTCAATGTTAAGTTTCAATCTTTATAATATTCATGGTTGTTAAAATATATACAAAATTTTCATGATTTTCCAAATTTTATAAACATCCAAGATTTTGAAATCGAACATTATGGAAATCTTGAAAATTCTGAATTCTGAAAATGTTCAAAATGTTAGGAATCTTCCAAGTTTTCTTGAAATTTTCACTTCAAAATTGTCGAAATGTCAATGACTTTGAGAGTTTTCAAAATATCCGTAAATTTTCAATGTTAAGTTTCAATCTTTATAATATTCATGGTTGTTAAAATATACAAAATTTTCATGATTTTCCAAATTTTATAAACATCCAAGATTTTGAAATCGAACATTATGGAAATCTTGAAAATTCTGAAAATGTTCAAAATTTTAGGAATCTTCCAAGTTTTCTTGAAATTTTCACTTCAAAATTGTCGAAATGTCAATGACTTTGAGAGTTTTCAAAATATCCGTAAATTTTCAATGTTAAGTTTCAATCTTTATAATATTCATGGTTGTTAAAATATACAAAATTTTCATGATTTTCCAAATTTTATAAACATCCAAGATTTTGAAATCGAACATTATGGAAATCTTGAAAATTCTGAAAATGTTCAAAATGTTAGGAATCTTCCAAGTTTTCTTGAAATTTTCACTTCAAAATTGTCGAAATGTCAATGACTTTGAGAGTTTTCAAAATATCCGTAAATTTTCAATGTTAAGTTTCAATCTTTATAATATTCATGGTTGTTAAAATATACAAAATTTTCATGATTTTCCAAATTTTATAAACATCCAAGATTTTGAAATCGAACATTATGGAAATCTTGAAAATTCTGAAAATGTTCAAAATGTTAGGAATCTTCCAAGTTTTCTTGAAATTTTCACTTCAAAATTGTCGAAATGTCAATGACTTTGATAGTTTTCAAAATATCCGTAAATTTTCAATGTTAAGTTTCAATCTTTATAATTTTCATGGTTGTTAAAATATACAAAATTTTCATGATTTTCCAAATTTTATAAACATCCAAATTTTGAAATCGAACATTATGGAAATCTTGAAAATTCTAAAAATGTTCAAAATGTTAGGAATCTTCCAAGTTTTCTTGAAATTTTCACTTCAAAATTGTCGAAATGTCAATGACTTTGAGAGTTTTCAAAATATCCGTAAATTTTCAATGTTAAGTTTCAATCTTTATTATATTCATGGTTGTTAAAACATACAAAATTTTCATGATTTTCCAAATTTTATAAACATCCAAGATTTTGAAATTGAACATTATGGAAATCTTGAAAATTCTGAGAATGTTCAAAATGTTAGGAATCATCCAAGTTTTCTTGAAATCTTCACTTCAAAATTGTCAAAATGTCAATGACTTTGATAGTTTTCAAAATATCCGTAAATTTTCAATGTTAAGTTTCAATCTTTATAATTTTCATGGTTGTTAAAATATACAAAATTTTCATGACTTTCCAAATTTTATAAACATCCAAGATATTGAAATTGAACATTATGTAAATCTTGAAAATTCTGTTAATTTCAAAATGTTAGGAATCTCGTAAAATTCTAAAATATTTTAAAACCTTCCAAATTGTTAAAGTCTATTGTGAAAGAAACATGATAACCAAACATTTTGTATCTATTTATTCTCATAGATATAAAAAAACATCGCATCTCAGCTCTAATAAATAAACAATTTATTGGAAATTATTGCCAAACACTCAGTAGATTGCTTTAGTCTAAATGTACCCTCTGTTAATTGCAAACCCCACAACCAAAGACGCAGCACTAATTGTCAAAAGCAAAACTGCTACATAAGACACATCATCGTCATTGCTCTTCACTCGCTGCACCTCTTTGAAGTACTTGGAGTCCTTAGGCAGCTCCCGGAAATATGCAGCGTCGATTCTTTTCACCAGATCAACAAGATTTGGCCACATGGTCACCAAATTGCTGATTTCATTCGATGGGAACGGTACTTTTACTAAAGGTGCTATGTGTGAATACACCACAACATCAAGAGTGCTTGGTAAGCTTCCATAGAAGTATTCAGACTTTCCTAATCTTGTAGATAAGCTGGATAAACATTCGACAGCGGTTTTGTTGAGAAATTCACGTACAATTTCCAGATTCGACTCGGTCGGATATAGAGTTTCAATCAACAACTCGGCTTTCTGCTTGAGCCTTCTCATGTGCCAATAGTTGAAGGGTAAAGGCAAAGCCCGCATGTACCAGACGTTCGTGAACTCCTCGCAGTTCCTCGGATCCACCCAATACACGAATTCGATCACAGGTTTCAGCTTGGATTGCACTAGGTTACACAACGCCAGGCTTTCACAACATTGCTTTTTATCTAGGTTTGAGTCTAGGTTGAAATTTAACGTTCTCAAGTATAGCACAGTATCTGCGAATGATTTGAACCTCAGGTTTCCGTGAATGAAGCACGGTTCACTGTAGAAAAGACACTGTTTGATGCTGTTCAAAGGTTTTAGCTGAACTGACACTTTTACTGCGGCTGTGTACACTATTGATTTCGTACATTCCACGTTCATGGACGGCATGGAAAAATCGCTCTCGTACGCGACGAGCTTGAATTTCTCGTCGGAGCCCATCTTTACATCGGATTTGTTTCAGTCTTGAATCTTTTTTACGTTAAATTACCCGACAACATGAACCTACCCTTTTTTTAGGTTATGTTTCGTTTGCGAACGACAACTGTCAAAAGTTAGCAGTGAACACGCAGCGCGCTGTTGCCGGGTCGTGCAGACGAATTTTTAGGGTAAACACGATTTTCGAACAATAAAATAAATTACAGGACGAACCTCATCGACTTTTGAAATACAAGTGAATTAATTTTTTTTATCCAAACCGTTTGGTGAAAATCCTCATAGGTGCATGAAAAAATAAGATTTTTTAAGATCTCAATTGTTAAGTTGATTGTTTACTAACGTTTCGGACACGTCAAGTACGAATTAAGAGATGGCGATAGATTTTATATTTGTCCGTCAACACAACATAGCGAATTTATCTAGCGCTCGGAAACAATATCTATGGGGAGATGTATTACATGGCATCATGAAAACCACAGAAGATACGTATAAGATTTTCTCAAGGATACGCTCTGTGATCGTTATAAAGTCACAGTCTCATGCCGTACAATCGCAACTAGATTTACCTAGTTAGCCAATCATAATTTTAAGACATTCAAAAAATAAAATATCCATCGGAGAGCCTAATTTTATTTATATGCTTGAAGGATTCTTTGCTCACAAAAGTAAAATATAAAGTCTGAATCTCAGCTCAGATAATGTTTCTAAACCTATCTTGAAAATTTCCTGTAACAAGGGTAACGAATAAAGAAGTATATCTGGGTCTAGCGCGTGACATTCGGCAACGCAGCACGTTCAGAGTTCATGCGCTGAATCATCGACTATATTCCTCGAAATCTGCATTACGGGGAGAAAACGATAAGTACAAGAATTTTAGAAACTCCGAAATCTGATAAATACGTGACTTTCCCATAATCCATTTCAGTGCTTTAGATAACACGCTTTACAAGCCAATAAATATTTTTGTATCACCATGAAGCCAAAATAGTTGGTTGTTGTTTTACGATTTTAATATTAAGCTTTGCAAATGTGTCCAAGTTTGTTGTGCCGGGATTTACGTGGTAAAATATTATTTATTCTACTGGCGACATTGGTTGCTATATTCGAAATAGAAGTAATAATTGCGAATCGTTTGGGCAGTGCGTTTGATTGATGTTATTTTTAAGAATCGATGTGAATAGGTATTGAGTCAGTGAGTCACGAGACAGCTTCTTGTCAGAAAGAATCAAAATAGCTTATAATAAGAACTGCATTGTAGATAAGATTTGTCATATGTTATTCGTGTTGTAATGACTACCTGAAGCTTATTCATTTCTTCTAAAAAAGTGAAAAGTATTATATTTTTAGTACAAGACACAATATGCAACAGTAACGTTCATTATTGATTTTTTTCTCACTGATTCTTCAAAACATGTGCTAAATTATAAATGAAACTAACAACAGCTGTTTTTATATAGATAGGTAAGGCATTTTTAAAAAGGCGGAAATGACAAAAGAAAAAAGATGATATCGCTATTAAAAGACATAACAATAACCATTATCATGTTCCTTGATCAAATAATAAATTGCTATCAAGTTGTTCTTGATTTATTTATATCAGTGGTGGAGGAAAAGGATTACTGTGCATTTTATCACTGGAATAACATAAAGCGGTATAAGGAAAAGATTTTACGTATCACTTTCTATGTTTATTTATGCAATAAATTTGGAGCAGTATAGTGCAGAAAATTACATTAACCGATCTTCACTGATGTAGATTTGGATTTCCTTTCTCTGAAAGATTAAAGAATTTAAGGTGGCAGTTGTACAGTTCGTTCATGGCTCTTATTTACTGCTTCGCCATATATTTAGATTACTCGAATTTCGGATTTTAAAGCTTACTTATCTGTTTTCATTGCACATACCATGACATATTTTACTAAAGCATTTTCCATCCGTTGGGAGAGATGAAATTTCGATAATAATATCTATTATAGCAACGCGCTGCTATCTCACTGTATTGTCCTTTCATCTAGAAGTATATATGGTTGGACTACAATAGCGGGTGATTTATACAGCAGGTCAAGGTGTCGTAGGTTCTGTTGATACAATATTATTTTCGAGTTATGGAGGTATCTATTTTTTAAACAGTTCATCAGCGTTTCTCATTTTGATTAAACATCCTTCAACTGTTGCCACTTTTAGCAGCTTTCTAAAGAAGATCTCCTTTAAAAGTCTACTTAGAGCTAGTTTCTACGTTCTTCTCTACGTTTTTCTAACGACAGGAATAAATATCGATGTTGAAAACAGACTTTACTGGTTTTCTTGCTACGTTGAAAGTAGAATCGGTGAGACAACCACATGATAAGTTTCGGGAGTTATGCTAGTTCACTTAAAATCCTCAAAGGAGGTCTATTTGCTTTGAAGTACATCAAGAAAAGCATGAATAACATTAGTGTACAATAAATAAACAAAATCCCCAGAAAGGTGTAATTTCAGTTCCTGGGATGGAATAGGAATGAACTAGTACATATTCTTTAAAATCTAGATGTTATGATGTATGCTACATAAAGTATCAAAAAAAAAACATATTATTCTACCGAAGTTTATGTTGCAGTGGTAGCCTACGGGTATTTTATAGGGCAAGTTTCTTAATATAGAATCATACGAAATAATAGCACCATCAATTTGACGACTTTCGCTCTTTTCTAACGTTAATCTCAGCTGAGAGACCTTTCAAAAAAAGCTCATCCCCAATTTTTAATCCCGCCGTTTTAGACCACGAGCGGCGAGCCCTATCTAATTTTTAGAAGCTCTTGAAATTCACTTTGTCGGAAGTCTAATAGGATTTGTCTGATAAAAGGATTGCGTCGGCGTGCATTAAGTTCATAAAAACAAAGTGAAATTTTGTTCACTTTAAATTGGCTCACGTCCTACACAAGCCTAGGGAATATTAAAAATATAATTACTCTCGGACACGGACGTACACATAGGGCACAAAAAGGGTATGAAATGGATAAAAAGCCTAAATACCAGGACATCCCGGCTGCTATAAGGAGCTTAAAGAAACTATGTTAATCGAGTACTTGAAGCTCAGTTTTATCTGGGCCTTACACAGACATCGACTTAGCAGTCTGAATTCCTGCCTGTAGAATATTGTAATCAGCAAACCTGGGTTCCGATCGATCGAACAGGAAAGGAGGAGATATGTAAAAGGAACGATATCGGAGCTAAAACTGATCCTTGGGGACCACCTTCGTTGACATTGTGGCATGAAGAGAAGAACCCTTCTTTACGACGGAGAGGAAGACAGCCACACATGTGCAAAGCTTTTCTTGGAGGTCAAAAGATGGAAGTTTGCAGAAGCTAAGCTAGTCATTAAACACTATGCCCTAGAGGTCGATTCTCCATGAATCGATTCTATGCCAAAGCGCTATTGGCAACGAGATCCTGAAAATGGTTCATGCTTGGGTTAGATTGACAAAATGAATCATTAAAAAACTCTGGAACGCCAGTGATTGAGCCCGGAGGACAGTGACGCTTTTATCAGCTCAGACGGGAATATTATGGAATTTAAAGTCTATTCACGAGTCGCCACAATTAGCTTTGTGAGCATTGCTTCGTCTGCAATATCCAGAGGACTTTCAATACAAACTTAACGGCGGATAGTTTATCCATATTTTTTCGAAATCATATGTAAATCACTATTTTTAATCAAAACATAATGGTGTCTCCTTTCTCTATTATGTATAACTATGGTAATTATTTGACCTGTTCATCGCCTGACTTCTAGGGTAAATGGTACGATGATCTTCTTCTTGAAACATAGATACCTTTTAAAGCAATGTAAGGTCAGTAGTTTATCATAATGTTCCCTATTTTTGCAAAATTCTGATTTTCCTCATCAACACTGTATGTTGTGATCGACTTTTCGGACGAGAATCGAAATTTTCCACATACTATAAAAAATCCTGCAATCCTGCACGCGTGGTTCAGTGGCACGGCATCGGCAGCCGCACATAAAATTTATTTACGTCACATAAAGTTCCGGCAATAAAATTGAGGGTTAAGAGTGCAGAATGTAAGAGTAGCAGCAGCGAGCGACAGCAGCGGGATTTGGCGTTTTCGTTCAAACTTTGGCGACATGACGTTATCGAGTGGCTTGTCAGCACGTCTCGTCTGAGTCTGGATAGAATGGAATCACCCGATACTCCGCGCCAACATCTATACAGGATGCACGTGCATTTGTGCTATGCACCGGGAACAGGACCGTATCTCAGATTTGCTTGTCTAAAGCTTTTGATAAGATTGATCATGATCTATTGAGCAAAGTAGCGGGTTTTGGATTCGACAATTTCATGGGTGATTTCTTTCATTCATTTGTTGAAAGTGCGTCTTTTTTATAACGGATTTGTATCTGTCAGCGTCAGGTGTATCGCAAGGATTCGACTTAGATCCCCTTCTATTTTTACTGTACATAAACGATCGGTTTTGCAACTAGTTTTGTTTGAATTTATTATACGCTGATCATTTGAAAATAAATTAATACCATATCAGATCCTACAGTAGAATCTTGATTCTACCCATGCATCTAAATGCAAAATTTTTTCATGTAAAAAGCAGATAATTGAACATCAATATAAAGTAGGGACTGATGACTCTCAAGAGTTGATCAAACTAAGGTTCGATGAAAAACATATAATTTAAAATTATCAAATGTTTTCATTTATAATGAGAAACTATAAGGCGGAGTTACATTGTGCATATTATGTTCGCTTTGTTTCGAAGGCAACGGACATTTATGGCACGTTCAATGGTCCTTAATATTTTTATATAAACTGTTGCACAACAGAACAGATAGTATGCACCGCTCGTTGTCACCGATGGCGAAAATGTTTGCCCCCAATGCCGCCCTGTTTCTATACTGGATCCTTTCCTCCGCCTACAAAGCTATGTCTGCCACCCAGCTGAACCGGAATATTGAAATATGCACATATGTCGAATATTCGGGAAAGCTGGAAAGC